GAAGTGATTGGGACCCCGAAGCTGATTAAACCCTGAATGGATATTGGGACTTAAAAAGGACTCAGCACAGTCCTTGAGTCTCATCACTCGCTGGTGACAGGAACTTGCTGAGACTTTGGAAACTTTATCTTCCTAACTTGTGATGCCAGGGTCTCCTAATATCCAGTGCACTTTGCCAGCTCCTTGGGAATGCTGTACCACTGAATGAAGCGTGCTTGTAATTAAATTAGCCAGTTACTGTCACAGTTGGGCGACAGGAGGAAAAAAAAGTGATATCTCATTTTTCGTTGGAATTTTAAGGAAAAACACTCACACAGAGGCATAGGATTGCCTTACACAAGTGCATTAGTTTTGTTAAGCAGAAGGAGTTTGATTGAAATATATATTTTATAAATAATCATTAAACTTTTGTGAGTAATTAAAGACTTTATAGAGCCAAGAATAATTAGTGATGCTGTTGACTGTCTACAGTTCTAGCTTGTACCTGTTGGCAAAAGAATGAAGCAACCTAGAGACTAAGTATCAACTTTGGGGAAACGGGGATACTTTTCGCTGCTCTGTCAGCATTATTACATTTAAAATAAAATTGTGGTTGATTAAGCAGAATACAGGATGAAATTAATATGTGAATAGTTGGGCAGGATTGTGTTATGTGGCTCTATTCAATTAAATTGAAGATAATGTTTCTAATCTGGTTTAATTTATAAGGGATTCCTTAAAGGGATGCGTAGCTGTATGCTGCATCAGAACTGCTGAAAACCTTCAAAACAAATTTGCAGGAGACAAAATTTGGACAATTTTGAAGCTGTAAGGATTACTATTTAATATATTCGAGCAATGTCATGTAACAAGGATGTGGACTTTCCACGATTTTGCTCTGCTTTTCCAGCTATTGCAGTAAATGCATGTGCTGCATTGGACCCAAGCCATCAGAGAGGCTGCAGCACAAAAGTTGGTGCCTTTTGAGTCTGTAAAATACCAACTTCTACATAAATTGAAAAACAAGTGACATTCCAAAAGCTGTTTTCTTAATCTGGCAGTGTAGTGTATTCTTATAGCATCTTTAGATTAGCTATAGAAAATAAAAATTTGAATGCTCTTGCATGCATGTGTGCATGCAGTGCTGTACTAAGGTTAATGTTTTTGGGTACAGCGCATGATGCTTTCCCTTTTTAGGAACATTTTGCTTCAAGTCAGCATATTGGTTGCACTCATGAATAAATGAAATTTAAATTACATATTGACTTATTTATTAAGGTGATTAGTATTGGTTAGTCTATTGTAAGCTCAAGCTAATTGCTATTGTACAGTATTTTACGTAAAAATAATAGATGTTGCAGAAAACTCCCTCGTGAGGGTTCTGCATGCTCTTTAATGCCCTAACCAAGCAAGTATCACAGGAATGTTCTGCCCTTTGATAGGGAACACTCCCTCGAGTTGCTTCATCTCTTGAAACCTGAGCTCGGGCAGGAAATGTGCAACGTTCTCCCTCCCTAGACCTGAGAGGTAAGTGGAGTTTCATTGCAGAACTTCTGTCCTTCTCCAGTTGCTGTAGCAGCACATGCTTTGGATTATTAATTTGAGTGTCTAAGTATTGCAGGCATAGCAGAAGAAGCTGAAAAATTATAAGCAGAGACTATTTTTAATTGAAAGATAAATTCAATATAAATCCAATTTAAATAATCCTCTTGTAAAAATAAAAAGATTTTGGTGCCTTAATGGCCATGGTCCTGTCCAGGACATGCATATGCAGACACAGCACTTGGTTCAAGTCAGATTGCTGTTCAAATCTGAAAGCAATTGTTTGAATACAGTTTCTTTTTACTGTAAATTCTGCTTCTCTCAAGAAGGTTTTACTTTGGTGCCTGAAGTCAGTTACTTTTTTGCTCCATGTTAACTTTAATTGTAATGTAGCTTCCTTTGATAAGGTTGCAACAAATGTGGCTGAACTCGTGTCAGTTTTGTCTTTTCATATGTTGACACTTACTGGGAAATCAATTAGCTTTGATTTATAGCAATAAGTAAAAGCAATAGCTAGCTCTCTTATTTTTCTAATGTTTCAAAATGCGTAGAAAGAACAGTGATACCCAATCAGGAGGAATAATATGCTCTAGATTCTTGGTGCATATATTTCTGGAAGAAAGAAGGGCTAAAGATGATAACGCTACAATTACGGGACAAGCTATATTGTGAAACAAGTGTTCCAGAAAAATTGTAGTGCCAAGTTAGCCTGTGCTTAACAAATGCTTCTATCATGTATGTATATATGCTGTAAATATGGATTGCATCATTGGCCACAGAGCAGTTATATGTAAGAGCCCCAGTAGATTTTAGAAGGAGGATTATTTTTAATAGAGTATGTGATAGGGAATGCATTTTAATGCAATTCCTACATACTTGCACTTTGTACATTTGAATATCATTTGCAGAAAAGATTCTCTTTGTCACCTTCCTCTTTATTACTTGCATGATAGTTATAGTTCCACTTTGTAGAAGTATGTCAGGACTTCAGTTACCATGCTCAAGCATAAAACTGCATTCTGTAGCTGTAAAAGCCTTTTAATAGTTTTGTGGAAGAAATTCTTGTAATGCAAGATGGCTTTTCAAGCTACAGCAGATTGTATGTTGGACATGACTAGAATATTGCATTGCATCCTCGCTTGTAGGTTCAAAACATGGCTTTCACAAGTCTTGAAGACGACATTCATGAATGAGTGTGCATGAAGGCTGCTGCTCACCATGGTGTGAGTAGGAGCTCCACCTCAGCAAGGCTCTGAGCTCCAGGTTGTGAAGTGCTATACAAGGGGAAAAAACATGAGTCTGTGTCTGTCTTTGTTTCTTAAAGAAATTCTTTTCTTTAAGAGAGTAGGAGGGTCTGGCATTGCAGGCCTCTGAGCTAGGTGGACACTTTTGCTGACCCACTATAGCTGTTGCTGCGCTCTTAGGGAGTTCAAGTTTGTACCATTTCATCTATGTACATCGGAGGAAAACCTGAATCAGCGATTGCAGCTGCTGCAGGTTCTTGTCCGTGATGAAGATCAGCTGGGCTGCAGTAAGAACCTTGCTGCGTCTGCACGTTGGGTTTGCTGGGGACACTGTGAATGTCTGCTTGGTAGCACAGGGAGGGCTCGGAGCATCACTCACAGCACTTGGGTCCTCTTGACTCACTGTGGTGGTTTTGCTGCTCTGCCTGAAACCCAGAACCTCTCTGGTTCATGGCAGCAACGGAGAGAGAAATACTGCAGGTGCTGATCAGGAGATGGAGCAGGAGTAGAATACAGGAGGTGGAGGTGAGTTGTCTCTTGCTCCCTTAAAATGTGATGATTTCTGGTGCTAACAAGTCTTTTTCTGCTGCTGAATTATAAATTACTGAGTTGGAACCTCCTAGTTCACTGCCAATGGCCTCTTGCGGACTGCAGGGCTTACCTGGGGGTTAAGCACCCCTGGTTTGCACACAGGTAGTTTGTATCCTTGGGGAAGGAATCAGAGTTAACCCTCATTCTCTTGTTTGATTTGTCATTTAGCCAGATCCTTCTAAAATATGCCTGGCAGAATGTTGTTTCTGTGGCATAGGTAAACTTTTAAAATCAAATTCTAGGCTTTTCTGAGAGATTCTTGTTTCTGGTGCTTGCTTAAACACAAATGGCATGCTAAAGTCATAGCTGTTGCTATTGATTGTATAGCTCCACTATTAAAACTGATAATTTTTAAATTGCTTTTGGATAGTCCACATAAATTGTTTGTGAAATATTCTGTTGTTAGTTCAAATTGCTGTAATGGAGGTTCAGGTACATTTTCTTCCGTTAAGTTTTTTCTCCTGCCTTTTATTTAGGGGCATTTGAAAGGTACTGTGGAACTAGCCTTTACACGAGCAGTTGTCAGACGTGTAGGTTCTTGTTAGGCTTTGCTTTGTGTTTTAATGTTTGCAGTACTACTGTTCAAGATTTCCTTATTACAAGTAATTCATGCGTTGACCTTGTATCCTGAGTGGTTTGGTTATCTGGTGTCTTTATTCTTTCTCAGTTTGCTATACTGGTCTAATGAAACAAGGATTTCTGTAATTCTGCATGGGGAAAAAGTAAGTTCTGAAGCCAAAGTGACTCTTCGCAACCAAGTAATAGCTGTATCTAATCAGGATGGAGGTATTCTTATTGGAAAATGACAGTTCAAAACTGAAACATTTTGCAAGGATGAATTGTCATCAGAAAGATTTTTTTTTTTACATCTAGATTGCTTTTACATATCTTTTTGACAAGGTGATCATAGCTAAAGAGGTGGATGTCTTCTCTGGAAAAGCAAAATATTAGAGTGATTTTTTGGGGGGGCAGGAGGGGACAGCGGGGGGCCTTATCCGGCTAATAGATATCATTTGTGCTTCCCAAATAAATACACTAATACTGTAAGGTTGAAAACCTAGATGTAAGAATCACTAATCTGTCAATTCAATTATTCAACAACTACAAAAAAAAGTGCTAGTATTTTTTTCACCATTGTGTGTTTAATTGTCTGATACCTGAATTATATAGTGAACTCGCCTGCCTTGCAGAAAAAGTCATCAAAGCCTTTGTATCTGTATTTGCTTTAAAAGATTTTTTTTTTTTTGGTATAAGCTTTCTGTTTGTTTCTTTTGAACTGAAATTAGTTATTTAAGTGCCTCTAATATTTGGAGCCTACTACTTCAATGCTATGTATGCAGAATTACAGTACTTTTTAAATGAAAATACTGCTTTGAGCCTTAAAAAGGAAACCCCTAAAGGACACTTAATAGGAAAGGAGGGGAGAATGGGCATTAAGTAGAGGCCGTGTTGTAATCTATAGGATGTGATATTCCATTATTAGATTAGATTATTAGATACCATGGATTTATTTCCTTATGCTATTTTTTTTAGCAGTGGTCAGTGTGGGTTTACTTTTCTTATTGAAGCCTTCACTTTTGCTTTTACCTGTCCCGAATATATGTATTTATTTTTATTTATTTATTTTTGTTCCTTCCAAAGACCCTGTGTGGACAGTAATGACCGCACGTTTCCGCTTGCCTGCTGGCAGAACCTACAATGTCCGAGCGTCTGAGCTGGCACGAGACAGGCAGCATACGGAGGTGGTCTGCAACGTGCTTCTCCTGGATAACACTGTTCAAGCGTTCCGAGTAAATGTAAGTAATCTGGTTATGGCACGTCAGTGTCACTCCGAGCTTGCTTTTCTTTTCTGGATTTGCATGTCTAGAGTGTGACTCTCAAAATAGTGTTATATACAAAGTAGAAGGGGAAGTTCTGTTCTGACCGGCATGCTTGTTACGTGCATGTGTTTAGTCACTGTGTACTTAGTCATGCTGGCATGCTCTAAATTGTTAACACATCTCTTTAAAAACTGAATATTCAAATTATAGTTTATTTTTAGTAGTTTTCTTTGGGGGCTCAGTGTTGTATAGTGAAATCAAGAGGGTTTTTGCCATTGAGTTGAATGAGAGCTGGAGCAAGGTTTCGTTTTCGTCAGTTTTGTGTGAGTTTTTCTTTTTTTTTTGAGCATGAGCATCAAATATGGTGGTAGCTCTTCTCTTGACTCTAGCTAAAAACATTTAATCACGTGAATGGTTATCATTGGTTACAGATATCATCTTAAAGGATGCCTTTGCTCTCTGCTTTTATAATATGTGCGCGTGTGTGAGAGTGCATTGGTTTCTATGGATTTTTTTTTTTTCCAATGTGCAAGGCTCTCAAGAAAACGTCATAGTAAGCATTGTGGAAAAGCTGAAATTGTGTCAGGAATGAGAAGTCAATAGGAAGGTAGCTGTGGCTTGTCCCAAGGTTCCTAGAACTCATCTTTGATCTTATAGCCAAAGAATTACTAATTTGTACGGATAAAGGTTGACTAGCAAGGTGATAAATGTTACAGGTAGCATGATTATTGAAGTTTTACAAGACAAAGTTAAAGTACTTGAACTTCAAAGTGGAGTAAAAGAGTAGCTTGACATCTGATAAAGGTATAGGGTGAAACCAGGAAGTGAGGGAGAAGCTGAAACAGTTTCCAGATCTGTGTTAGCAAGTTTAATTTAGACTATTTGGAAAAAAAAGTCCATTATATTGATTTCTGATGCCTCCTTCAATGAAGATATTGACGCATTTGAAAGACTTTAAGGGAAGATTTGCAAATGATTGAGTTGCTCTGTTCTGTATTCAGGCTAGTAGAGCTTGGATAGCCTGCAAGTACCTATCGGAGGAACAGGGCCTCTGTTATCTAGCAAAAAAGGGGCAAGGATGCATTAGCTGGTAGCTGACGCTAGTGGTAGACTTGGTGGTTATTTTGTTTTATTATTGTACGGGCTCTTTCTATGTGTTCGAGTAGATTTTTTCGGTCAAGGTGGAATGCTTTACGGTGTTCTCTGAAGATATTTCTTGCAGTTGATTCAAGTGTTGCTTTGAAAGGCTCTTATGGGCTGTTCTAAGCAGGAGTGAAGGGCGAGAATCTTGGATTATGGGGCGGAAACATCAAAGATGGTAGTTTACCATCATAAAGCCTCTTCTGCTTTCTGTGGTAGCCTTTCCTGTATGCTGGCTGTATCACTTCTCATGCTTGCTAAAACAAATTCTCCAATATGTTCGTTGCCAAAAAGTGGTATGTGGTTGAAGACAAAATACTGAAGTTGCATTAGAAATTGCACATTTTGTGTTCCTTACTTTCAGGTACCTGAGTCTGCAAGCCACATATATTAACTGAAACTTTTTGTTTTAGTTGACTAAAATAAGGAGTAAGTGTAGTACAGTCTGCTTATTTTTAGTTTAGCTATCCAGAATCTATATCTTTTAAGAGAAATGGTAGTGCCTGTCTAGAGTAGAGTAACCTGTCATAAATCCTCAAATCTCTATTCTGACGGTTGAGAAAAATCTGTGTTAAATTTTCAAGTATGCAACAGAGGTGGGAAGAAAGCTTAAGTGCATGTTTCTCCATTCAATGGTTCTATAGATAGATCAGCTTACAAGTTTGTTAGAACTGAGTTTAGAAAAAGCTAAGTTCCTTGGTAGTCAACATTTTTCCCCTTCATATTTATCATCAAATTGTTTTTTTAGAAAATAAAAAATAAACTGAAATATTCAACTATAGCAAACATATGCTAACCTACATTGTTTACAGGTTCTCAGGGTTTACTGTTGTGTGTTTCTTTATTGTGGTTGACACAATATTTGGCAATAAATATTTATGGAACTGTTCTCAGAATAGGAAGAACAATGATAACATCAAACAAATTAGCTAGGTTTTTCCCTTGGTGATTACTGTAGGTATTCTGTATGGTAATGCTTGTGAAGCTTAATCATCTGGAGTATGCAGTTCTGTCTTAATAAAAATGTACCCAAATGTTCTTTCTCCTCCAAGAGCAAAGTACAGATCACAGGCAATGTCTCCTGGTAATTTAGATGACATGCTCCAAGCTCACATTTCAACCAGCTTCCTCTATTGCTTTGCAAAATAGGCATCCTGTGTGCTAAATATTACATTGTATAGGATGTACCGAATCAAATAATAGAATCCCTGAGGACTGTAGCAAGACAAAGTTTTGGCTACAGGCAAGAAGTTGGTTGAAGCTAACCTGTGCTGCCCATCTGTAGAACGACCTCCCGTGAAATGATCTGCTTACCCTGGGAAGAATTGCTGCTTCCACCTTAGGAAGTATGCTGCATGCAGGCAGAGCCAGAAGAAGGGGTTCTGTATTGAGTTAGTAATCAGGATGATTGCGTTGCCATAAACTTCCTTCCTTTTTTTTCAAGATCAATTTGTTTTAGTGAACTGTTTAAATACCTTGGGTTGTATCCATTCTGCACAAACTGACTTAATTTTCTTCCCCGAAAGTTGGTATATAGGTACAGAAATCATATTAAACTTGAGTGAAAACTAAGGTAAGGTAAATGACATGAGTTTTTCTGTGAGTAGGACTTACGATTTAGCAGTCACGGGGAAAGATTTACTTTATCTTAAAGTCCAAAAGCTCTTTGAGCTGGCAACAAAAACAGTGTGTCAGCGATACAATTTGGGAAGGCTGTAGTTAGCTGCCACACAGGCGTTCAGCCTGTGTAATTTTGGTTGCTTTCTTAAATTTCAAACAAGTGTGTTCTATCACAAAACTGTTGTTGGTTATAAAGCAATGTGCATCTAGTGACTCTGGATGTTAGACACTGGGTGGTAAATGCTTCATCAGGTACAACTAATTTATTGATGCCTGGTGTTGATGTCTAGTGTGTTTGGGCAAAATTTGTTAGCCATGTTGCCTGTAGCATTACCAATAAGAAGTCTGCTTAAACTGTTGGATTCCTACACAGCAGAAATACTGATTTGTTTTATATTCAATTGTGCAGTAATGAAGTTCTTCACTAACGGTTTGCCATTCAGTTGTGAAATAGTTGAGTTAAATTGCAGTGGACATTTCATAGTAGGAAGTTCCCATTGTTGATATGTTTTCCATTATTCCCTGTTTACAGATACAATATTAGTGTTACCTTTTAATCTAGCAATAGGAATAAAACAGGGAAAAAAAGGAGAAAATTTCTTAAGAAAATCTCATTAGTTTTGCTTCGTTATTTAAAAAAAAAAAACCCAAGGAACTTATTTACCATACTTGTTATAATTTAGAGCACTGCTCAGTGGTTATGCCAGTGTTACAAATTCTGTTTCAGACCTTTCACAACACGCAGGATTGTGACCTTCACCACCTCTGGCAAGCTACAACATCATTATATAAATATCGAAGATGGGTTAAACTGAGGTCTGGTTTTACTAGATGCTTATCTCTATTTTGTGCTGGGAGTAAAACATTGTGATCAAAACAAACGCTTCATGTTGAAACTTGTGTCTGTTACTCAAATTTGCCACTCTGGCTCATGAGAAATACTTTCACTCTGCTTGTTCTGCCTTCCCCCGCGGCCTCCTTCAGGTGAAGGGACACTGGGAACTAGTGAGTTCAAACCGATCAACGAGTCCCCAGGTTTCAATATCCTTTCACGAGGAAGCATTTACTTAGGTATTTCAGAAGCGGCATAAATGGCTGGATGAAAATAGGCTATTATATAGCCTGTTTATAGATTGTAGCCTATATAGCATATTTACAGATTATAGGCCTAATCTACACTTTGAGATTGGAAACAGTTAGGGAATTGCTACCTATATGTTACTCAAACAAGTAACATGTCAGCTGTAGTAAATGCAAGTCTAAGCTTTGGGTGCAAATGTTTCCCTTTTCCCAGTAGCTACTATCCTAAGTTGTTAGTTTCAGTTCTGGTTTAGCTCTATGTAGGGAAAAATGCCAGAAAGCAATTAGTGTTACTATGTAATTTAAAATTTCTGTTGATTACTAGTTTACAAAAAATATCAGAAACCTCTAATTTAGTAAAAATCCAAGTAGCTATTTTTAGAATTGTCCATAAAAATTGCTTTGTGTGTTTATTGTCATGTATATCTTGGGTTAACATCTGTGCTTTCCCTAGTTGGTTTATAATTATTTGAGATTTTTTTCATATTGCATTGTTTAACAACCGTGCTGCTACTAACTGTTCAGTTGGTTAAGCGTGAAGAAATCTTCTCCATAGGATTTTAAAAAATGAAATCTTTCACAGAAAATAAAATGATTCTTACTTTAACTTAGCCAAATTTACACAAGACTTGATCTGCTTGTTATTTCAACATAACTATGCAGGGCTACAATTAAGTTTGCCTTGCTGTCATCCTTCTAGGCATAATTTGTTACCTTTTCGCTCTTATTTTATTAAGAAATAAATTATGAAACGTCTCTGAGTTCTTTGTAGTCAGGTAAATGATTTTGACAGTTTAAGCAACTTCAGTGTAATCTCAGCAGAACAAAAAATGGAGTTTTGAGAAGATGTTCTTAAATGTAAACAAATGTCTGACTGATTTGTACTTTTTTTTGTAGTAGTAGATGGATAAAATCCTTGCAGCCTGCTTCTGGCTTTTTTGTTACCTTTCTATAACCACCTTAAAAATAAACTGTTTTTATAAGGTATTATGAGAAGTGAGGTCATTAGAGACCAGAACAGTAGTCCTTTTTGTTTTAAAACTTCACAAAATAACACCTTATTGCGGACAGGAAACAAGGCAAGATGTATGTGGAATTCGCGGTAGCATGAGTAATGCTTGGCACCTGGGACATGGAGAGAAGGTTGTTTCCAGGGAAGCAGCAAATCTAGGTGGAAAATGTATCAATCGTATTTTATTATTCTAGCTTCAGTTATTCTTGCAGTGTTTTTTTGGCATCTCTTGTTCCTCAAGAATCTCTGATACTTTGCAGCTTCTTTGAAGGAGTTTCCCAAATTTTGCTGAACATGTCTGTTGAGCCCTGTCCCAAAGAAAAGCTCCATGCTTAAGTTACTGTTAGCAGTGCCCTTATCTTAGGCAAGGGATTGCCAAGTACCTTCAGCTATGCAGATACTTTTTATATCATTTTGTGGGTAAAATCAACTTTGTTGATTTGTCTCTGAAAAGAATGTTATTTTTTCTATGTTCAGTTCATTTGAATTGGTTCCTTTGGAGCAAAGTAGTATCTTTGGGAAAACATATTCAAACGATGCTTGTTTGCAGTTAGTTATTTGGCTGCTTCAGCTGGCTGTGTCATTTAACTTTGGAAGTGTTTTCAATATGCTGGTTCATTTAGATTCAGGAATAGATTTTCAGATAAGAATGAGTAATTTGTGCAAGTCTGAAAAAATGTACTTTTAAGTGATAAAGGAATGGCCTAGATGAGGCTACTAAGTTCTAAGTCAAATTCTAGCTCTTTTTCATTTTCTTCTGGTAATCTTTTTAAACATCCAATTTGGTTAATGAGTGGTTTTCAGGAATAATCATATAGCTATCTGAGAAGTGAGGAATTTTTACTGTCAAAAATGACAAAGATGAAAAATAATAATGCCTTGGATACGTTTTACAAGGGATTGAGCTCATTTAAAAATAGTGCTGCTGAGATACATTTCATGATATTTAAAATTTAGATTGCTTGAGCACATGTGCAAGAATGTGTATGCGGTCTGCATGCTTCAAGTCTGTGTCCAATTATATTTTTTTGTTCATAAATGGTATATATTTTTGCTCTCTGCAGAAACATGATCAGGGACAAGTTCTGTTGGATATAGTCTTCAAGCATCTCGACTTGACAGAGAGAGATTACTTTGGTTTACAGCTGGCTGATGAATCCACTGATAACCCTGTAAGTTGAATTTGTTTTCTAAATCCTGGTTTTTAGACTCTAATGAATGTATGAAGGTACCTATTAATTGTAAAACTCTTAATTCTTTCCATTTGTCAACTCGGATTTTTTGACAGAAGCACCCTAGATTTTGGATATGATTGGTGTGTATGGCGTAAGAATCCACTGAAACGCTTTGAAGGGATCTACTCTTTTAGTGGGAATGGAGGGGCTTTTTTGTTTGTTTCTTGGGAAAAAAAAAGAGCTGATTCTTGCCTTCTTTTTAGTGCAGTTCTGACTTACTGCTCCCCTAAAAGACTGTTTACTTTGGCAGTTGAGGAAAAAGTGCTTTTAAAAACCTTTAAGTTGTCTGTCTTTATTTTTTGTTTCTCACCTATTTGAGTTAGCATTTCAGTGCTGCTTTTGCAGCATTACAGTAGCAGCAGGATAGATATTTAATTGATCTATGGTTTGACACCATAAATTGTGTTGTCTTCGTCCTTTGGGAATGGACTTTTTGCTTTGAGCTTATGATGCAAAAGGTTATCAAAAGGTGGCTTCATTAATAAAGACCACAGGACTGTTCAGTTTGCTCCCCATACCACTTTTCCCACTTGTTTTAATATATGGTTATTTTATGCACTTGAGAATGGCATTTTCATTAATAATTCAATAGGCCGAACAGTCATGGGAATAGGAGACTTTCACTAAAGTGGAGCAGAATTAATTGAGAAATAACACTGGAAAGATGAAGTGATAGGGGAGAATGATGAAATAAGAAAGGAAATGGCGTGTGTGGTAGAAACAATGGAGGCCGAGTTAAATCAAGCTCGTGTAAGGAATAAGCTAGATAAAGTAAATTGATTAAACAGCAGTTGTGAAAAGTATTCAGGTTAATTAGTAGTAATCAACATTTAAATAATACATTAGTTAAAGTTGAAACAAAATGGTGGATGCTGTTTAGACTGAAAACAGAAGACTTCAATCGATATTTTAAGCTTCGCACAAGTAGGAGGAGGACACTTGATGTTTCTGAAGTGTTTAATCTTTTTACAGGGCTAGATGTAAAACAAACAGAAAAACCTCTGTGAAATGCTCCTTATATTACTTCGAGTAGCACTTCAAGATTATTATCTTAATATGGAGCTTCAGTAGCTGTTCTTAAATAAGTGGAAGTATGAAGAGTTTGCTGCTTAAGATACATTTATGTAAAAAGGAAAACTTATAGAGTTAGTGAAGAACTAAACAGGCTCCCAACTCTTCACCTTGTTCCAAGCGATTGCATCATTTAAATGGAAATGTAGCACTTGAAGTGTAGCACTCCTGCAAGGAGTGTTATTTCAGTGTCCTGCAAGCAATATTACATGTGGTTGAATGTGGAAAACAAACAGATACCGGTGATCTAGGCATCAGTTTGTCACCAAAAAAGAGGCTTGTGATGAATTTTGCGCATGTTCTCATGTAGCTAGTTGAGGTGGAAATGTGGGACTCCACAAGTGATGGGCTTCAGAAGAACATCTCTGCTCTGAGTTGTTGTAGAAAGAAGTACTGGAAGCCATTGCAATATTGTGCCCTCCTGTCCAACTGTGTCATTTGAGTGGGTCGTCATCATCTTGTAGTTAGGCTAAAATTAATTTTTAATAGTCACAAGCTTGGAGTGAAAATTCTGAGATTCCTGGGTATGAAATAGTGCCTTAAAAAGATGTTGTCTCTCTTGTTTTATCTCTTGACTAGATTGCGTGATCATCAGTTAGAATCAGAAATAGTAGCTCGTTTTTGATTCTGACTTAGCAAAGAATTAGATTTCAGCATTAAAATGTTATTAGCTTTCAGATTTTTCTGTTAAGTGTTCTGGTTTCTAGTCCAAACACCTAGCATGTTAAATATGCTTCATCTAGTCCAGTATCTGTCAAGGGTTATCAGTTAATCACTAAGCCTTAAAGAAATACTCATTTGAAAATAAACTTTTATAATAGTCAATATGCCTTATTTAAAAGATATTTCCATTGAAACATTGTAAATCAGGTTTTATTTCACGGGAGGAGTTGATGGATCCAGTTATAATGTTACAGCTTCATTGCTAGATGGTGGTTGCTGCACAGAATTGTTCTTGAACGTTTTTTTTTTTATGTTAAGTCTTACATATTTAGTGCTTGTTTTAAAGGCTAGTTTAGATGATATTGTTTATAATAAAGTTATTTGCCTAATTCCTGTTATAGACATGCCAGACTGGAATATAAACTTATCTCCCCCACATTCTGTGAAGAGTCATCTTTTCTGTTCACAAAATGTGCAGGGTGATCTATAGAGATAAATGATACATTTATGAAAGGAGAAATTGTAAAGTGTTAATCATACAGTAACTTACCAAATGAAGTCTCAGAAGATGCTGAGATAATGAAACATCCTTCTTCAGTAGAAGTAAAATAAGGACTACTCTTGTTTCAATGCTGCTTTCATTTTTCTTCTGCCCGAATAGTATTCCACATTTCTTTCTTCTCAAGAGCAGATTATTTTTAATTATATTTTTTCTCTAAACTTCTGGTTAGAGAACCCTTTTAAGATAACTAACATGAATAAAACTGTGTAGCATATTACATATTACCAAAGTTTTCTTTGTAACTGTAGATGGTTCTGATAAGACATGGCCAAAACAGTCCTAATTTTTTTATTGCCAACTTTATTTCCAGACATAGACATGACATGCAAAAAGCTGCATTATTTTCAGCTTTTGTTTAAAAATCACTTAAATATCACTAAGTATTTTACTAAAAGTTCAGAAATGTACAGGATTTCTCATTCTCATTTCTCTGACTTTAAAAGCTTAAACTCTCTGAATTTTCTTCTTTATCTGAAAGCAAAATATAAAACTACCATAGAAGTAATTGGTTAATAATTAATCTGGAAGGAGAATGACTTCAGCGCTCTTTGCTAAGCACGTGTTTTAAAGGTTTAGTATTCTTTGACTACCTAAATTTTGCTTGTCAGTAAATATCCAGTTGCAATGAAATAGTATGTCGGAACTAAATAGAATTTTACCAGTGAGTTTATAATTACTATTAATTTTAGTATTTGATATTGGTTTACCTTTATATGCTGGTCATCTGGAAAGAAAAAAAGAAAGGTGGTATTAGATATTCTGGTTGTTCACAAAATAGCACCGTGGAATGTTATTAAGATAGTGAGTACTGCAGGAGATAAAGGTAATGGGGGTAATGGGGAAAAGGAATTTCTGCTGAGTGCCAGAGCTTTGTCATTTTGTCTAAATGAAGATTTTGTAATTTGTACAAGCTTTGTGTTTTCTTAAAAGATGGATTTCATAATTAGATAACATGTTAAAAGAAGTAATATTGCAGATCTGACGGTTAATCCATCCTTTTACACTCTTCTAAATCGTACATCTGTCCATCTTAACTTCCTGTATTTTGTTTAAGTAGGCAGATAACTTTTTATATCTTCTGCTGGGAAAATATGCAAAATAATATATCAGAAAAGTTAAGGTTTTTTTTAATGTCTACCAAAAGTCAGTGTTTCAATAGAGAGAAAAATAAAGAGAAGGTTCCTCTAGTAACCCTGCAGTTTTTCCAGTGACTGTCCACAAGCTTTGAAATTCCTGTGTGTGTTTGCTATACATGCTTAGACTAATAAGCAGCCAGTGCTGTTTTGATTGGGCTATTGAACCCAGGAGGGAGAAGACCCTTAACTTCATGTTTGATCATTGCTGAGAAGTAGGCTTCAAAAGTTCCACAGGAACTTAAGGAAAAATTCCTTAACAGTGAGGGTGACAAAGCCCTGGAACAGGCTGCCCAGAGAGGTTGTGGAGTCTCCTTCTCTGGGGATCTTCCAAACTCGCTTGGACGCAGTCCTGTGCCACGTGCTCTAGGTGACCCTGCGTGTGCAGGGGGGTTGGACTAGGTGACCTCTAGAGGTCCCTTCCAACCTGAAGCATTCTATGATGTCTATGATAGTGCTTTCCTTGCACACTGAACAATTTAAGTTCCTTCTGCTTATCTGTACTTAGTGTAAACATGTAGCAGTAGTTTGCTTTTTAAAATGAGCAGCTGATATATTTTCTAGCTATTGAAAAATCAAAACCACCAGTAAAATTTAGCTGTAAGTTCTGTCGTTGCATATAGCAGATTTTTGTTCTGTAATAGTATCTGGATTGCAAAACTTGACATTCTTCTTGTGACTGCATCTGTTTGCCTGAATGTACTACTTCTGGTTAGGAGAGTGTGTATCCTGAACTCATTTGCTGCTGTTTTTCTATCTTAGAAGAACTTGGAGGTGCGGTAAATCGTAACTGCCATTTTTTTTTCTGTACTTTTAAAGGAAAAAAAAAAAAAAAAAAACTTAATAGGTCTGGCCCTAAGGTGATGATCTTGTGCGTTCCCCTCATGACAGCTCAACCACAAGCTACTGCACTTTTTGCCTGAAATGTCATTATTATGTGATATCAGCAGATTCACTAAGCTTCTTTGTGTTTGGGTCTGTTAGAATATACCCCAAAGGAGCTATGTCATAGAGGCATGATTCATATTTTGGGGATAGTTCATCCACTATCTTATCACAAGTGGTCTGGCCTTGCAATTCTTGACACAGCCCTTGAGAGTAGCAAAAAGCTGATCAACACTGATGAGGATGATGCTGGTATGGGGAAGAGAGCAAGTTAGAGGTAAGAGCTGGAATGAGATTTAAATTGCACACACTGACAGGGCTTTTGAGATGAGCGGGGAAAAGTGCAAGGCATTAGTCTATGTGAGGGAATGTAAAGCCAGAGTCCATGTTTCCCCATTACATGTTATTTGAACTTCACAGGCTGCCAAATATACCTACCCCTCAGTCTTGTGGAGGGTTTTGAACAGAACAGGATGATCTCTCTGCTATCAGCACCTCGACTTGTTTGATTTTGGTGCATCTGCCTAAATCCAGACAACTTCAGCTGCTATATGCAATTAAGTGGTATAACCCTCTGCAGTATCTGAGGAGGAAGACCACATTTTACGTTGGCATCCAACAGTATGACTTGAAAACATGTTAAACGCTGTTGAAAAAGGTTATGTGTCTGTGACCTGAACTTCATTGGTACATACTGAACTGATCTTTGCAACTAGAAAAGGGAGAAAATTAAAACTTTTCTACTAGATGTTTCAATTCCAGGTTTTCTGAATTAACTGTGATCTCAAATGGTAAAGACCAAAAACAAGGCAATGGCTTGTCGAATCTGGATGTTAATCAGATATATTAAATCATAACTCCTTTTGTAAAGATTTTCAAGGGTTTTTCTAGATTTTGAAATGTTTTTGTACAAGATCTCCCTAGCTGGAGAGTTCATACTTAAGCCTTCCCCGTTAGCCTTATATACTGTTACTTGGTCCTCTGTGTTTTTTTCTTTTTTTTTTTTCCTTTCGTTAATCATGCAGTAATCTTTATTCAGCAGTCTCTTCAGTTCCTCTCAGATCACCCACACAGATAGAGTGTTTGCATCTAGTCAGTGTTGTTATTTCTGAAGAAAAATACGACCCCCAGGACTAACTGCAAATTCCTAGTGGGTGCCAGACACTATGAGTTGGCTAAAATGTATAGGTATGTGCAGAGCCCACTTGGCTTGGGAGAGGGAGGCAGTTTAAATGACTTGTAGCGCTGAGAACCAACATCTCACCGATGTGTGCAGCAAGGCTTGGTTATATGAAGATGTATCTTCACTTTCCTGAGAGTGTTCCCTGTTACAGGCATTTGAGATCAGGTTGCTGTCCAGTAAGTGTTTTGTGGTCCTCAGTCCAGTAGGCCCCATGCTCTGTTTGAAACTTAGAAGGTCACTGTTCAATTTACCAGGTAGTCAAAGAACAGCTGAAGATGTGCAGGCCCTCCCTGAGCTCTAACGTGTGTCGGGCTCCACCGACAGTTGTTGTTGCAGCAGTCTCAGCACCAGGTGGGTGCCCGGGCGGCAGAGCCTAGACCCAGCGAGAGGAGAGACGAGCAAGTGCAGCTGTTCCTGAGAGTGTCTTTCCAGAGGCATAAAAAAACTTTGTATGCCAAAGTTTTGATATGAGATCACATGAGAAGTGATAGAAAGCAGTGGTTTCTTGATAAATAAAACTATAATTTATTGTTTGTTCCTCTAAAGTTAGTGTTACAATTTGTCTTTTTCCAGAGGTGGCTGGATCCAAACAAACCTATCAGGAAACAATTAAAAAGTGAGTACATGGATATATTGGGTTAATTCAAATATCAGTATTTATCAGCTTTTCACAAGTAACTTGATTAATTGGAAATATTTTCCTTGATTCTAGGAGGCTCTCCTCACAGTCTGAACTTCAGAGTCAAGTTCTTTGTGAGTGACCCAAACAAGCTCCAAGAAGAATATACTAGGTACGTCTAGTTAATTTATGAATAAAACTTTTTTTTTTTTTCTGGAAAGCTTACATTTGGTATTATTGTGTTTAGGCTTATGTTTAGTATTAATATTAGTATTTGCAAACTTGTAATTTTTGCCTAATAATTACAGACAAGAATTGTGCAGTTGCACCTAATAAAAAGCTTATAATGTAACTAAATTTACAAATCCATAAGCAAAGGGAAGCAATTACATGAAAATACTACTTAAGTAGAAATAGAAAAAGAAAAACTAGGTAGAGAAAGAGTGGAAAAGCTTAATTCCACCATTCATACACAAACTTAACTTTACCTTGTGTTCACTTTGGGATTAAAGTATCCTGATCATTCTGTATATTTTTTTGATGTCTTTCTTTTCCCTCCCTTTGCTGCCTCACGCTAATAAAACTAATCTCTGCTTATGTGGTCATAATGCTAGCTGGATTATATGAATTTATTTTGATAGCAATGCGTTTAAGAAAATGCTTAGTGTGAATTAGGTAGGAGGTTTGTGAGTTACAACTAGCCCCTGAAGGAATGCCTCAAATTTTCAATATTCTTAATCAGTCCTAGTCCTCTACATAAGTGGCATGATTTCACAAACAGATTGAAAATAATAGATTGCCATTCTGAAAACAGGTTAGGCTCATTCAGGAAAATGTAGCTAAGTGATTAAAGATGAATTTGGAAATCTAAGCGCCAAATGCGTGAAAATGTAGCCCACATTTGTTTACAGATTATTTTGATTTGTCTTATTTAAATAAAATTTTGTATACACCTGTGCAGACTGAATTTACTCAAATGAGTCTCAAGAGATCCTGGAGAAATATTTGCTTTGTTGGATTGTTTATTTTGAGAGAATTTGGTGATTTCTGCATCAGAATAATAAAAATGTGCTATTTGAGTTAAAGAACAATACATAGTATTTCTAGAAAGATGAAAAATAGTAACATTGGATCATCTAAACAGTTTTTTAAAAGATTGTTTATTTGACTGTTATTCTGTAAATACAGTGCTGTA